TCAATCTACTACACAAGGGCTGCCCACAATGGCTCAGAGATCTAGTTTGTTAAATCCAGCATCCTATCTCCAATGTGGGTTAATACCAGATGCTGCAAGCAACAACTGCACAAAAGCTGGTATTTCTGCCCTCAGGGCGAAAAAACCCATCTATTGCTCATTACATTCTGAAAACTGGATCTGAAAAGGAATCAGTGTAAAATGAATCACTCAACAGAAATTCCAGAAACATTTAATTATCTATTTTTCATCAAATTATTTACCCTATTTGATGCAGTTGTACACAAATCGTTCATTGCCCCCTCCCATTGAATACTAAATATCATTTCTGTATGATAGTATATTCCTTAGTGTAGGAGAAGTTCAAAGCTGATGTTCCACTTCCCCCTCTTCAAAAACAGGCAAACTAGCAAGCAAACAAGCCCTCTTCAGCACCTACCTGCAGAAGTCACAGCCTGGGGGTGTGAACAGTGAATTCTTGTTACTGGGACTAGTAATACTTCTCAGACGTGAATGATTTTGAGAGGACAGCTTTCTCCACTCATTCTTTTATAAAATATTCTAATAGTTTACTTCCTTTTCATGTTGAAAACTTTCCATATCTGGAACTAACACGCAGTGTTCAAGGACTGCCATACTTATTGTATTTAAACAATGGCAATGTGATAGCTGAAATTATGATTTCCATCTCTTTCTGTTGAAGAGGTTAACATCTTCCTTGCCTTTTTGATTGCCACTGTACACTGAGATGTTTTCATTCAGCTGTCCAAAATGGCATTTTCTGCTAGAATGATTGTGATTCATTCATGCAATACATCACCTCGGTGAGTTTAAACTGCCCCCCTATCACCTTGCAGATGTCAGCACTGAATTTTCTCTATAGGGTGACTAAGAATTAGCTAACTCTATACATCTCTGAAATTTAGAATATAAGTATGTAAAGGAAGCACCTGAAGCATTGCTTTGATATCCTGTTTGTGTCAAACATTCACCGTAAGTTATTTCGAACCTCCCTCTTCATCAAAATACTCTGATAGCTTCAGAGCACTTTGTAATGATTTTGGGAGTGTTCAGCTGTATTTCTGAAATGAGACAAAGTGATGTTCCAGAGTAAGACTGAAAGATCCCCAAATGAATCATTCCAAATATTAAAACATAAGGACACCTAAATCACATCCACTTAGATTTAATTGAGAAACTGCTTGAAGACGGCTGATATCCAACATAATTAAAAATGCTGAAGTGTGAACCTCTCTGGAAACAAAGTGAAACTATTTTGAGTTTGAGCCAAAGTAGAACTTGTGAAGGGAAAAATTATAACAAGGAAACTGGAAAAAAAATCAGGGACTGTAAAAGATTTTCCTTAGAACAGGCATCTGGCAAGCAAAAATTATTATTTTTGACACAGATGTCCTTTAACCAACAACTTGTTTCCTTCATACAATTTTAATGATAAAGAAGCCCTACTTATATATTGCTTTTTGCCTATAATGTCAAGCCTGTAAGTGTTTTATTTTTCTATCCCTTGTTTTTTCAAATGATTTATCTTCTACCAAGTCAAGGTGCCCTAAAGCGAACCCAAAAGGCTATTTTAAATATTTCATTGGGTACTCAGATGATTGTGTAGCTGAGTGTGGTGTAGCACTGCTCTTACATTTTGAACAACTTATTCTGCAACTCTTAGTTTTTAATGAATCTGATCCCACTTATTATACCAAAATATCAGTTTGTTCTTATATATGTACAATGACACCTCCATCTCTGGAATTGCTTAGGGCTGGGTATATCCACATTAATATCTGTCATGGGAGTGTGCTTAGAGAAGTAATTCCTGGGTGTGATTCTGGTTTCTCTGAGGTCAACAAACACTTGGTATTTAATAATAGCTAACCTATTCCCTAATTTGTGCTGGGAGAGGACAGGGTAGGACTTGCCAGGCTGTAGAGCCAGCCTAGTCCCATTCATGTGAAGTAAATAGAAGACTCAGCACTTCTTGAGGTCATGGGTTAGTATTTCAAACTGGACATTTTTTGAAAGATATTTTATCCACAGTACTGCTCCCTGAGACCAACATAAGGCTTCCCATCAGAAATCATTTGGTCTGCCCTGGCATTTTGCTGCCATGCGTGGGTTTTCCCCCTGTGGACCTAGGCTGGGAAGAAAATTGTTGAGAGATGCCATGACCACTGGTAGTAATAGGTGTATTTCAGAAAACTACCCTGATTTCTCTGCCTTACCTATTCAGCAGTCAATAAGCAAATAGAAGAGTAGGAGGATTTAAATAGAAAACCAAAAAATGGGTAAAGCAGAAAATATTTAGACCATAGGGAATAGCAGTAAAGTAACTAAATAAGTAAAATAACTAGATAAGTAAATAAGCAAACAAGTAAATAAATAACAATGAGGGATGGTGCCCTAGGTTCTGACATATGGTCCTAAAATCAAGCTTGGCTATAAGCACTGATGTTATCAAAACAGCAAAGAAACAAATACCATCTGGAGTTGTGCAGCTCTGAAATGAAACACTGTTAAACATCTAATAACAATGATGGGAGCCACATACCTCTCAGTGACAACCAGTATTTTCCACCCAAGCAACCAGAGAAAGAATTTTGGACTTTGCTGTATTGAAGAGTTATGAGATTATTGGTAATCTAGTAGTGAAAAACACCTTTAGGTAGAATGCAGACTGTCCCAGTTTGCATTGATAGTAAGATAGCTCAAAACAGATCTGTTAATGTGCTTTTATTACAGACATGAAAGGTTTGAAAACCTAAGGGAACCAATTACTTAAACAGATTACTTATGGACTTGATAATTGATGGGTTTTGAAAATTACTGACAACTGTCCAAAAACATCATGTAGACAAGTAGTCCAATTTCAAAGGGACTAATGACAGCCCTGGTAGCACTTAAGAGTAACACACAGTTTGCAGTGAACAGAAAATATGGCAACTCATTTTAAAAATTACAGTGTTCAGGTGCTATATTAAAATATATGCTAAAAACAGGCTGCACAGATCAAAATCAGTGAGTCTACTTAACCTAGAGTCCTAGGTTCAGCAGTAGCAGTCATTTTTCTCCCTCCTAGTAGCTGGTGCAGTGCTGTTTTTGACTTTAGCCTGGGAACAGCGTGGTAACACATTGATGTTTTTAATTGTTGCTCAGTAGTGCTTACCCTCTTCAGGACTGCTCAGTCTCTCATGCTCTGCCACTGAAGAGGCACAAGAAGCCAGGAGGAGGCAGAGACAGCACACCTGACCCAAAGTAACCAAAGGGGCATTCCATTCCACAGCAGGTCATGCCCAGTGTATAAACTGGGGAGAGTCACCCAGAAGGCCCAGATCACTGCTTGGTTCAGGTTGGGTATTGGTCGGTGGGTAGAGAGCAACTGTATTCTCTCCCTTTGCTGTTTCCCTTATCATTATTATTATTGGTGGTAGCAGTAGTGGTTTGTGCTATACCTTTGTTACTGGACTGTACTTATCTCAACCCGTGGGAATTACATTCTTTTGATTCTTTTCCCCATCCCTCCAGAAGCGGGGGGAATGGAGAAGTGGGGAGTGAGCAAGCAGCTGCATGGTTTTTGGGTTACCAGCTGGGCTGAAACCGCAACACTTAGACTTAAGAAATTTAGGCAGAATTAACTAGGCAGATTAAAAAGGTTATGAAAATATAAGAAACTTGCTTTATAAAAGAAATATTAATAGTAGGACACAATGAACATAGGTTTATCAAATGGTAGTTTATGAACACAATACATTTAGTCAGCTAACTTAACCAAAGCAAGGCTGACATGGTTTAATTTCTGCATGACTTACTGGCACACACAGAGTGGGAGCCTACAGTAGGAAACAACTGGAAGAAAACCATCAAGGGCTTTTTTTACTGTTTGCTGTGTAAGACACTCTTACAATGACTTTAACCTGATGAGATTTTAGGAAGTTCTTCTCTGTGAGGGTGGTGAGGCCCTGGCACAGGTTGCCCAGAGAACCTGCAGCTGTCCCATCCCTGGCAGCACTCAGGGCCAGGAGCAATCTGGTATAGTGTAAGTGTCCCTAGCCGCGGCAGTGGGCTGGCACGGGATGAACTTTAAGGTCCCTTCTAACACAATCCACTTCCTAACTCCAAGAAAAAAGTAATTCCAAACACCAGATGAAGAAACTTGATAACTCATCACTTAACAGCATTTTTTGCGAGGGTGAAGTTATCCTCAGAGGTTTATGACAGCATTTTTCATACCTTGTCTTTCGCCAACGAGGTGTTTGCAACAGCAGATGTGAAAACTACTTTCTACTCATGCTGTCAACAGGGTCATTAATTTAAACATCTGTCATATTCAAGTATGACAGCATACTTGACAATTCCTAGATTACTTTTAATTACAATGTTAGAACATGTTCCAAGACTACAGCTACAAATGGAAAGCACACAATTCTTTCCAAACACCTACATATTTGCAGCACTATCAATTTTAATAAGCTATAGAGTATTACCAATGCATTTTCTCATCAGTTATTGCTGCTGTACTGTTTTCTAGCCTACCTCATCATCTGAGCCTGAAGCCTAATGAATACTGCAGGTAATCTACTATGTTTCAGCTCAGAGCAAGCACACTTAACACAGCACACTGCAGAGACCTGTCATCAGTGGCTCTTTAGTGTCAGCAAAGGGAAGCAAAATGTCCTCAACCCAGAATACCAAAGATAAAAAACTCTATAGTATGGATTATGGTGATAGTATAATCACGCTGAAGCTCACTAGTTATAACCTATTCTAGATCATTATTCTGTGACTAGTCTGAAGAGCATTTGAGATGTTTACACAGCTACTTAAATATCTACCCAGCTAAAAATGTTAAGCTCAACTTCAGTTTTGAAATGCAGTTTTCCCAACCCTCTGTTTTCATATGTAGAGATAATTTAATATGAAGGTGTTCTCAGTACACACCCATTGTCAAAAGCACTCAAAGAGTTCCACAAAATACACAGCCCAAGACCTTCCGATTCAAGATTTTATTTAGTCATATCCAGCATGGTATGCAACTGCAGCTGTCCTTCCACTGAAAGAGGCTGTGTAGTAGACTTCACCTCTGCAAGAAGAAAACCCACAAAGAATTAATAAAATCTCTGAATCTAGGGAAAGCTGTAAACCTATGCTTTAATTAGAATTTTGATGGGCTTTGCTTCATTCGTAACATGCTTTTGTGCCAGAGGCCTTGACTTACATATCATACAGTTCTCATCGCTCAAGTTCAACACAAGTCTACTGATTTTTTTTCTCCTTAGTCTAGAGAACTAAAAACATCAGATCAGCAGATGAATTACACAGATTCAATTTGTTCCAATTACAAGATTCCAATTAGGAATGCTCCCAAGAACTACTTGGGTCATTCTAGCCCCTCAGGAAGATTTACTGTTTCTCAGATTATAGAATTGGCAATACCAGGTATTTCCAAATCTGAGTAAGATTAAGTGGACTTTCAATTAGAAATGGTATGTTTTGACAGTATGAACTATGTTTGAGGCTTGCTTTATTATTATCACAAGCAAGCATCAGTTAAAATCGTTGCTGCTGTTAACAACCTAATTTTAAGTGGAATTTACCCTGTAAACAGTTAGGAATGTTCTATGTAGATGGTGTGACTGTTTTGACATTGGTTGAACCGAAGTTCAATAAAACTTGTTTTCCACTGCATTTTAACTGGCACATCAGAAAGTGTTTACAGTATCACAGTTTCTCATACTGTTTTGTTCACATCACGCACACCAGTTATTCCTCCAGATGACATGAACTGTAGCTTTATGTTTATTCAAAGACACCAGACATGGTTTTGGTTGTCATTATTATCCAAATATCAGTACCACTCTCAGTCAGTTAGCCCAGTGGCGGACTACCAAGCTGCAGTCAGAGGTGTGGCCTCTGGGGAGTCAAAGTTAAGACAATGAGAATGCAGCAGCCCTATGAAGCAAACTTAAACCCATTCATTGCTTGAGTTTAGATACCACTGCAGACCACAACTCTAAGCACCTGGACTGCAAATAGCTTAAAACTATAATAACAGTTTTAGATTAGACTCCTTAAAGCTCAGTTTCGACCACAGATTCCACTATGCTGCAAAATGTAACAACACCAGTTACCCAGTTAATGCAGTTACAGTCCGTCGTGTTCATTTCTTAAGAAGCTGGTGCCTGACAATAACAAAAGGGGCAACAAATCCACTTCCAAGGAATCCACACATTAATGCAAGTAGTCGCCATTTGTTGTCCACAGAAAATGGAAGGTTCTAGAAGAGAAAAATTAATTTTAGTTCTGTAATCAACAATTACTTCCTCCATGACTTGAAAAATGTGAGACGCTCAGAACAGTTACAGATGGAGTCAAACAGACAAAACGAATGTTCAGCCTGATTACAATTTTCCCTCCTTGAGAGGGAAATTACACAGTAATTAGAACAGCTTGGATGTGACCTCTGGAGGTCATTTTGTCCACTCTTCTCCTCTACCCCAAATTTAAAGGGGGGCCAGTTTGCTGACAGCCTTGTCCAGCCAAGTATAAATTTCCCTGAAGATACATACCCCACAGCCTTTTTAGACAACCTGTTCTGACATTTAATTATCTTTATTGTAAGGGAGTTTCTTGTGCTCATCACATATGTAGGATTAGGTTTTAGATATAGGACTTAAAAGCACTTGTTAAGCAGAAGGTACATCAGAAAGCGTTTACAGTATCACTGTTGCCCCTCATACTGCAATGCTCATCATCTGTACCAGTGAAGGCTGCAAAACCAGACACTGAAGTCATTCACACCACAACTTGCTTCACTGTGGCCCCAACAGTGGTGCCATGAGACCCCGCAGGCCACCCGCTTCATCAGCTAAGAAGCGGCAACAGGGCAGCATTGCTCTGCATCCATTTCTCTGGAAGCTGAGAAACCGATCGTGTGCAGAACCCTTCCCGGGGGCACATCGAGCGGGGAGCTTACCTTTAGCACGCCCGCGGCAGGACAGGCCTGCGTCTCATGGAGGAATCAGGCCAAGTGCGCACTGCGGCTTCAGCAGTGCTCTTACGGGATCTTCTCCCCCAGGAATCTCCTAATTCCCAGCCCCGGCCCCTCGCCGGACTCACCCCGGAGCTAAGCCTGCCGCAGGCAGCCCGCAGGTCTGAGCGCCGCGAGCGCTATGTCCTTCAAACATTCGTTCCTCCTCTCCCGCTCTTCTCACACAGTCCCTCGGCCACCCTTCCCCCTCCCTCCCACTCCAGGCCGAAGCAGGCCCCGACGCCCCCCCCAACCCGGCCCCGCACCACCTCCTCACCGAACCCGACTGCAGGCCCCTTCCTGCGACCTTCAGGCCACGCCGCAGCGGACCGCGATCTTCTTCCCACCTTACCTTCCCCGGGCCTTCCTCATAGTGGCTTCTGCGGAGGGTGGAGGTGGTGAAGCGGCGGACAGTGGTAGCCAGCATGGTAGCGACGGGACAGCACGTTCCCTGCGTCCTGCGACCTTCCCTCAGCGAGACCGGCGCCCCCAGAGAGCAGGAAGCGGTGCCGGAAGGGAGGGAGGAGGAAACCGTTCTTGCCGCGAGGCATGACGGGAGTTGTAGTGCGGCGCCGAGCCGCGCGATCACGTGATGCCGAGCCACGGCGCGCGATTGGACTAGCTCAGCGCCTCAGGGAAGGGAGAGTTGCTGTGGTTTGCGCTCATCGTCCCCATTTTGTGGCCTGCTCCAGTTCTGGGTTACTGGGGTGGGAGGGGGGGGGGGGGGAGTGGAGAAGGCAAGGTGTGGGGAAGGGGAGCGAAAAACCAAGAAACTGCGCTTCTTACCTCAAGCTAATCGTCACTGAAAGCTGAGGAAATTTGGACTGTTCAGCCTGGGAAAAAGAAGGCTGTGTGGAGACCTGTAGCAGCCTTTCAGTGTCTGAAATGGGTCTACAAAGATGGCGGGGAGGGACTCTTCGTCAGGGACTGTAGCAACAGGACCAGGGGGAATGGCTTTAACCTGGCAGAGGGGAGACTGAGATGAGCTCTTAGGCAGAAGTTCTTCCCTGTGAGGTTGGTGAGGCCCTGGCACAGGTTGCCCAGAAAGCTCTGGCTGTCCCATCCCTGGCAGTGTTCAAGGCCAGCCTGGACGGGACTTGGAGGCACCTGGTCTAATGGAAACTGTCCCTGGTTGTGACAGGGGGTGGGAGCTGGATGATCTTAAAGTCCTTTTTGACACTAACCATTCTATGATTCAGAATAGCACAGTTTTTAACCTGGAGATCCTGAACCTTTCCTCCTTTGGAATGTTGCAGAGTAGTGGAGGTGCGAGTCGAAATCTGAGCTTAATCAGCATTGCAGTAGGAACAGAGGCTGCCTATGTTGTCCTGAAATTAAGTATTTTTCACCCAGTGTGCAGAGAGTATTTCAAACTTTTTTGTTTTTTCCCCTCGCTATCGAATTATATTTCTATGTGTCAGAGTTTACAGTTCTTTCTTCATTTCCTAAATCTGAAGTCTTGTTAGGGGATGTTCTTCTGCTTCTGCTAACTCCCTTGCTGTTTATACAGCCAGGCCTCCTTTTTGCCTGTTTTTCTCAAGCCTTTCCTAATTGGAATTAATAGCGCAGTGGTGGTCTGTGTCATGTCTGGCAGTCTGTTTGTCATGGTTTCGCCATATGTAGCTCTTCCCTATAGAGGATTTTAAATTGCTTGTTGGTGATGAAGAGATGCTGGATACAGGATAAAAATCCATGTTAAACAGCGGCACTACACTGATGAAATTTTTGTACCAAATTAAGATCTTCCGTGTTATTCAGCAGCAAGTAAACCATTTGTTTTCTTCCTGTGGTCCCCTAGTCAGCTGATTCACGAAATCAGTGGTAGGACTCAAAAATCTCTTTTCTGCTTAACATCATAAGGTAATTTTTGCTTAGTCTACTTACTAGAGTATAATTTTAGTCACTTAGTGGAATTGTAGTTCTTGTCCTTATGCTATTGTAGGTATTTTTTGGCATACCACAGCTGTTGTTGCTCTCCTGGTGGGAAGAGTGGTGTCACGGTACTACATTGCTACTACTGGGCTTGAGCCTGCCACCCGTATAAATTTTGTGTTAGGCAATAATACTGTTAATTTCAAAAGCAGATACTAAGCATCACATAGTAGAGAAAATTGCCCCACCAGTGTGAGAATTTACTCACTGGCTTTTCTATGTATCCTGGTACTACAGTGTTTCATTGACTGAGTACATTCTGGTATGTTTTTGATAGGCTGATGTGTCGTCATTTCATTTTAGGGCTGTGTTGTGTATTTACGCATAGATTAGTGTTAGAAGGGACAAAACCAGTAGAACCAGTATCTTTCACTTCCAGATAATCCATGAATCTTCTAAACTGACAGTTACAGTGATGCAGTTACGGGCTTTCTTTAGCAGTAGTAGTTTACTTTTTGGAACTGGTGTTCTGCAGATGTTTTCTATGTAGACAGAAGTAGCTATCTGTAGGTACATAATGATAAAGTGTGGTAGATCCTCAGGAGAACGAATTACCTGGTGAAGAATTTTGTATGAACACTCATATCTGTTCGCCTTCTAAGGGTAATATAGGAAATTAAATATGCTAGTCCAGGTGCTTAAGAAACCATGCAGAAAGAGTGTAGAAAACCAGTTGAAATTTTGGCAAAGAAATGAAAGATAATATTTTCAAAATTATTAAAAATATGTACAGTAATCATAGTGGGGATAAACAGGTGGAAGGGCAGATTATTAAAGGATATGGTGAATGCTCTGCTGGGTACCTTTGGAAAAAGTCTGTCTAACTTATACACAAATTTGGGGCCTTACATAGGGAATTACTGGGTGAAAATTCCCTATCCTGTTATGCAGAGGTTCAGAACACATTATTGTAACGGTATCTTCTGGCTTTTAAATGTATGAATCTTTGAATCTAGGCTTTCGATTCACACAACTCTTTTCTTCCTTTAAAAAAGAAAACAAACACTTGCTATAATTCCTTAGATTTGCCAGGTTATCTTCTTAATTTTCAGTAACATAGTACATTTTGCTGCTTGTGAATATGACTAGGTGATGAATTGTTTCAGGTACTGCTTCCTTACTACTACTCACTTTTCCTGACAAGGAACCTTCCTCTACTTGAATGGTAAGGCAAAAATATAAATAAGAAAAAAAGGTAACTAAAGAAAACAATGCTTGATATCTGTATTGTGATCTAGATGAAACAAGCATAGAAAGATTACTGGACAATTTAGCAGGTTTCTCAGGGCCTTAGAGAGGACTATGAGATTCCAAGAAGATCATGCTAGTCACTGAAATGAAGTGACAGAACCAAGATGCAAGTCATACTGGCTTTTTCAGTCCTGTTTTATGAGTGGATGAAATACTTGTTTTTAAATACTAAAATTATATGTGGGTAAGTTCAGATGTATATACTTAATCAAAACTTTCTAATACCATAAACACCCTAAATATCATGGATGGAGGTCTTGGGAGACAATGTAGCTATCACACACAGCACAAAAATACTGGTTTTCTGCAGAAATTATCCTGTGTATTTGTTGACATGATAAGTTATTTTTTGGAGCAGTTAATATCTATGAGGGGTTAACATCTTTCTAGTCATAAGGTCAGGTATTAACCACAAGATTAAGCAGTTGTGAAATGCTAATTAATGAAGTGGAAAGGCTGAATAGAAGTTTTAAGAGGCTTTATACAATGGATATTAGTTGCATATTTTTAGCAAAATTATGGTTTAATAGACATATCACTTAATAAAAAAAGTTCCTTAATGGCTTACTCTGATTGCACAATTGTAGAGGTGTGTCTTTCATAAAAGTAATTTAGCTTGCCTTATATATGAGAGTTGTTTTTTTTTGTTATTATTGGTGTTCCACAGGATAAATAAATGTGAAAATATGTTAGAAATATAAAACGAGAGGAGCATTAAAAATGACATCGGGATCATCAACCAAAGGAAGTGTTAGAATGTGAAGCATCTGTATTTAACACAAGGAAAGGCTGAAAACCTTTAGATAAAGGGATATAGAGAGTGCTAGTTTAAAAGAATTCTTACTCTAAGTAGACTCTTTCTTTGCTTCCAGACAGCTCACGTAAGTTTCTGGAAAGTGAAATAGAGCAATTGTCCTGTGGAAAGAGTTACAGCACTGTTGTAGGTGTGGATAGTATAAGGACATGTGGGAGAAGGTTGTTAGGAGAAGCAGTATCTTTTATTATTTTATCATGGACATAATTATTAAAAGTAGCCAAGCTTCCAAACGGGCAAGCCCTCCTTAAAGTATGAAATGGATGGAGTTACTTTCAAAGATATTTACAGACTGAAAATAGTTTTTGTAAGGCATAGTTGTAAGGACACTTCATCTTTTTTCCCTAGGTGTTTTATTGAGTGTATCATTCCACAGATCCAGTTTACTGTGTAGTTGCGCAAGAGCAGGCTGGCCAACAGAAGGGTGTGAAGCAGTTGTAGCAGTAAAAAGGTGGAAATGGAAGCATAGAATTAGTGCTTTTCTTGGCAGCAGTATTAGTTTAGGTTGGCAAAAATAGCTTGTCCAGCTACAGCTTTAGCTCTGAATATGTATATTTTATTTGGGATTAGAGTATGAGAAAATTATTACATGAGACAAAACCAAGTTATTTCCCAGGTCTCAGACTTCTAATGTTTAGTGCATTTATGAGTTTTATTTCCCAGGATCGTCCTTGATGATACTTAAGATAAGTAGATACTCTGGTGGGCGTTACATTGGTTTGCAAATTTATAAGCAGATTTCAGTTTATCACAATGCTTTATAAACGAGATTAAAATTGGTGAGATTTCTTATTGTACTGTAATGTTTTTATGTGCAAAGAGCTTCTGGCACTCCACTGTAAGCTAGCATTTTTGGCAACCACATGCAACTTACCTTTACTTTAAAACCATGTTAATTAAGATCTTTAATATTTTACACTTAACATGGTAAACATAAACATATGCAGTTAGGCTTATTGGTCTCAACCTGAGTTGAAGTACTGTGACTTTAGGGTCTCTTAGAAACCTGTGCATCCAAATATGGCTTGTTAGCTCAGGTTGGATCTTTTGTTTTACTATGAGGATTGTAGGGGGGAAGTAACACAGTATCTACGTATTTCATATTTTTAAATCACCCATGACTGTGAAAGTGCCATAGGAAATTCTTTGGGGTGTTCCTGCTTATTCAGGTAGTCACTTGCAACTGCTGTAGTGTCAATTTTCTGTGAAAAACACAGATAATATGAAAATTTGGGCATGTGTTTATAGATGGAGTGCTACTCATGAAAGCAGGTTGAGCATAGCTGTAGGTGGATGTGCATAATGGTAAAATGGCAGCTTCGGATGTACCTATGTAAATTTATTTTCACCTTATGTGAAATATTTAAAAAATTGCTCCTTCCTATAAATGCTTCCTTATGGATGTGAAGTCTCATTTGTATGCACAAAACCACATTTCACAAGCAAAATGAGTGTCTGAAAAGAATATTTTACCCTGACAGAGTTGGTTTTTTTTTTGCTAATCTCAAAGCATGTTG